TCTGTTGGCTGTGCTAGATTTGTGATCTACGTCAGGATGCGGCTGTCCACTCTTCTCTTTGCCTGGAATGGCTGTTTTACCAACTGTCCTCACCTCCTACGCCAGAAGTAATATCATTTTTATTCTCTTTGTTTTTATCTCTCCCAGAGTTCTTTATCACTCTGCCATCGTTAATTCTGTGTTTTTTTGCAAAGGTATGTTTATCTTCTCAATACAGAGTATTATTCCCTTTTGCACAATGTGTATGTTCCTGAGAAATGACTCTTGTGAATCCTATTTTGCCAAGATACAAAAAATGTCTGTGAGAGGTGCTGATTTTTTTGAGTGGACATCAGATTATATGTCTACTATATTAATATTCAAGCAACTAGGATTCTAAGCACTATGCCCAACTGCCTCCCAAGTTTTTTTCTGCAGTGAATTGCTAGGTACATTCAACACTGGCTTCATACTCGAGTTGTACCCTGGCATTCCCTCCTCTTTATTAATTTCATTTGTTCAGATCCAAATCCTCTAGAACAGAATGACAAACACTAATGAGCATATTCTTCTCCTTAGCAAATAGGTCACATTTGATTACAAGTGCCAAGTAATAATCCTTATTTTTCTTTTGTTGTATTGGGCAGGTGTGTATCAAATAATATTTAAACACTGCCCATACATTAGATTTGTAAAGATTTTAAAGAAAATCTAGTTATTCTTTTAATGGAAACCTATGGGGTCTGTAACTCGGCTGGTGTTTGGGGTGGTTCCAGAACAGGAACAAAGCTGTGCACATTTACAGTACCTGGCTCAGGTAGAGTTCTAACGACTGTTCTCTCCTGTTCTCTCCTGGAGAGCTAAAGCAGAGTCACTGGAGAGGGGAAAATAGCGCACAGCACTAAGATCAGAGTCTTTTCGTGGTGTGGCCAGTGCCTGTTAAGTCTGGGGCTCACAGTAGAGAAGCTGTACCAGTTTTATTTGTGCCTCTGGGGTAGAAGTGAAAAAGGAGAGGAAAGGAAGAACTGATGCCAAAGAGTTAGAAAATAATTAAAGGGGCATAAAGATCCTTTGTGTGCATGTCCGAAAGTGCAGATAAAATCAAGGTTCTGACAGGCCATCAAGATGAACATCCCATGGAAGAATAGGGATTTGCAGTGATTAGGAACCCCCCCCCCCCCGAGAACCAAGAAAAGCTCCTACGTTTCAGTGAACCCCTTACCATCTCTGAGCCTTTGTTTTCTTGATAGTCAGATGAGGATGGTAGTGGCAACTCTACCTAGAGCACACTCCTTGAGGAAATTAGTGCAAGGTTATTAGGGACCAACATCTATGAAAACTAGGGGGCCAAGCTTAGAATCGGGTGGAGGGAAATCTAGCTTGGGTTTGTCCTGCATCTACCTGAAATGCCTGGACGTTATACCTCTGCTTTCTTCAGTCGAGAATACAGGCTCTTTGGAGAAGGATGGGGCTGCTGTGTGAAGGCTGTGTGCTGACAGCTTTCTCAACAGTGTGGGCGAAATTTTTTCTTCTGTAGGAGCATCTGGTGAGAGAGAGAGAGAGAAAGAGAGAGAGACAAAACAAAGCCAAGTCTCTGTCTGTCTCTCTCCCTCAATCTCTCTGTTTGTTCTTTATTAAATAGGGTTCTGTAAGAGAACTTACTTTGTTAACCATAACTTACTAGAAATTTAATTAATTTAATAATCATACCATGAGCATCCAACATTTATTGAGGTTCTACTCTATGACAGCCTCTTGATATTAATAAAAATAACGAACCTGAATTTTTTTGGCATTGGATGTTATTTCTGCTTTCAAAGCTGATAATCTTCTAGCCCCTTGGCCATGGTCTTCCATCATCCATTGAAGCATCAGATTACAGCTTGCACAGATGCTAACTATGCACAGGGCTCTGGAAAATAAAGCTTTTTGCCATAAAATTATTCCTTGGTGTTTTAAATACTATAAATGCAGAATATTTATGGAAATTGTTAAGCAGGATAATTGCTAATATATAATTTTAACACACTATGACATAGTTATAATACTAAAATTTACATACTTTAGTATGTCTTGAAGAACACAATTAAAAACACTTTTCAGTGTAAGCACTCTCCTCGGAAAATACATAAATAGTACAATAACTAAGCCTCAGGAAAAATAAATACAAGGGAATGCCATATGATATATTTTATTATCATTTGGAGAGCCAAAAGCAAGTCATACATAATGGAATTTCATTGTATAGCAGTGGAATTTCCCCCAAAGTTTTATTAGAATCTTTAACATAGTTTGAACTTCTCAGCAAAGTAAATGGCTTGTCCAAGATCTGAGTCAGCATTTTAAGTAAATATGCTAATTTTTAAGATCAACAAAGAAAAACGCTACTTTGAGTGCATTTTAAATTTAAAAACATTTTAATTCATAAACTGTTCAATAAAAACAAGTGAGTATTTTGTTTGCTTTATATTTAAATTTGCATTTCTGCAACAGCCTGAGAGCAGCCTGCTCTTTGCATGGTCACGGTAAGAAGATTAAATTAGTAGTCCATGAACTAATAAATCATGCATTAATTGTTAATGCAAAGTTTGGTACAAATCATAATAGTGATCATTTCATACTTGTACCATGTTTTATCTTTTTTAAAAGAATAACTACATAATCCCTTGCTGCTTTAAAAGATGTCAGCTATATCTATGCATGCAAATAAAAATGGAGAATACTGAGATAAATTTGGAAAATCCGGTCTTCATATTTTCTGTATCTTCATTCCCCTTTTAGAAATCTGACACGTGGAACACAAAATTCTGGATCTTACCATTGAATGCGTGGATCTTGAACTGGAAGGGTTGGCATGCCCAGTTGCTTATAAATGCCAAGTTTCAGGTCAGGGACCACCTTAAACTGCTAAGTAAGAAGGTGCGCTTAACAAGCCCCTCAGTTGACTGGCCCCGAAAAATATGAGAAGCATTATTACAAAAATTTTTGTCTGTAATGAATTGATGCAAAAATTCTATTTCTTTTTCAAATTATACAAATGACTCTTTCCTTTTAGTTAGGAGGTTATATTTAGTTTTATTTAAGAATAAATATAAAATATTCTGAGGCATAACACTCAATATAGAAATGAGTCTTTGAATTTCATTTCTTTTTCAGATTCTGAGTTACCGAATGTGTATTGTAGAGTGAGAAAGCTTCTCTTTGAATAAATATATTCAAGTTATTCAATTATAAAGTATGACTAATAAATCTGCCTATCTTTGGCCTTTTCCATTAGAATGGTTTAGCATTCCTAGAATGCTAAATGGGGATTCAGGAAGCAAGCAGAGAATACATTTCCCATCAAATAACATCACTTTACCATACTGATATAGAACAACCACCTTGTGAACTGTTTTCTCATTTCTTTGCATTAGTGGAATTTTGAAACAATGCATTCTCCCACTTCATTTTCAGCAGGTAGCCTAAGAGGATTTGCAATCCTGCTCAGTTTCTGATTCTCATGTTATTGACTTTAGTCTGCAGAGAGATGAAATAAGGCCTCAAATGCAATGGATGTTAAGGTTAAAGCCCTTCTTATGTCATTTAGAGATTGTTTTAGATTAAGGATCATTTGACCTTGAGTTATAGTGGTTGCTTTATTATCTGATCATGGTGCCTCCAGTAAGAGGTTGTTCAATGCTTTCAGCACATTACCTGCCTATGTCACTGCAAAGCTTCTTGCTTCAGAAGATCTCTCAGCAGGGTTAGAGGGAGGTAAAGAGCTTAAATAAGCAAGCTATATTTATCAGCAATGAACAACAGTCCCTGGAAATGTTCTACCCAGCAAATTAAAATTAATCTAAAGTGATAGCTCCAAATGCATGAGAACAGAACTGATTTTGTATTTTAAAATTTATTTACTGCTATTATTATGAGCAGATAATGTTGCATCACTAAGAACAGAGATTTGAATCGTAGTCTCACTGCGGTCCATCTAAATAGGTCAATAAAATGACGATATTTTTATATCAAAATAATTTAGCTACATTGAAACTCCACATGTTCTGTTCCAAGGTGGGAAAATCACAGAAGAGAAAGAATGCCAATAAACAGCTTGGACAAGATTATATAGATAAAGCCACATATGATTTGAAAGTAAAATAAAGATCATTGTTTGGTAAGGCTGAGAGAGTGTCAAGGTTTTAGGTGGCTCAAATTAAAGATAATTTCAACTGCAAACTGCAACCCAGCAATCCAGGAGACCAAGACTGGTGGTAGAAGTTAATGAGGCGATAGCAAAATAAGCCTGACCTGGAGAGGATGGTTTACAGCTGCAGTTATATTAAATGGCCAGAGAGCACTCACTTTGCACTTCAATAGCTAACCCTAAAAGTTGAGCTGCTTAATTAACAGAGTCTTTGTTTCTCTTTGCATAAGGACTCTCCATACCCTGTTACTTTGTTTCCTAACACATTACTTGGAAATCACAGCTGATTTTTACATAGTTGTTAATGAGAAATAATTTTAAAACATTTTAGGAAGTGATGCCCTTAACATAGCCCCAGATAAGGCCATGATAAAAGAGGTCACAGCCTGCAAAAAACTTAAATAAAGCAATTTCAGACAGACCACAGATTTTCTGTCTGTCATTTGCTTTTTCTCACACAGCTGAGAAGTACAGCTCTGAAGAGAAGACACAAGCCAAATGAAGATCAAAGGAACATTTAGGTATTGTATGTCCTTAGACACTGATATGAAATAGGGTCTCATAATACAAAACAGTTTTCTGTCTTACAGAAATAGAAAACTATTTCATACATATATAGTCATCATTCAAAGGCAATATACTTAGATATTTTCCATATGACCAAAAAATTTCTATCTCAACAATGATATGTGTTAATGGACTTAGACAATGGGGTTTAAGTGATTGTAATAGAGTTATAGTAGATTCATCTGGGCTATAAAAGTAAAGATGTAAAAATAGACTGGTTCTCTTAATATGTGACTCACTCTCAGGAAGGCATGTGCTTTTCCAGGGGCAGTAATGGGCCTGACTGGATCCGTTTCTACTCTCTTGCCCGGTGGTAGGACCTGAAGGCATTTATGTTCACCAAGGATTTCCGACAGGCAGCCTCTGGACTAATTTCCGGTAAGGAGCTATTGACCTGTTTATACAGGTATGGGATGATGGGTAAGCTCTTACAGTGGAGGAGAATACTAGCTGTGTATATTATTTTTATTAAAATAGAGGGAATGTGAGTGGTCATCACTGGGGAAACCATTCTGTTTGCTAAAACATTATAGAATTGCGATTGCAGAGCTCTGGGACCAATAAAATGTCTTGTTTGTTAGCCACAAACTGTTGGCTGTAAAAAATTAACTAAGTGTAACATTAGCCTCGCTGCGATATGAATCTGCTATCAAGGACATAACAATGCATAGATTATGCAACAAACAGTGGTGAAGGAGGAAGAAAACCCTGGAAGAAACAAATGTTTCCTTAAAAAAAAAAGCAATGAAAGGGATAAGATATATAAATGGGCAATAAAGAGAAGCTAAATTAAAAGTGACATTTTCCCACTTAAAACTAGTCCAATTTATTACTTAAAATCTATTTATTCCAAAGTGAAAATTCCCTGGTCATTCATCCCAGGATTATGGGAGAGAAGACAGCAAACAGAAGTTCCTCCATGTTTCTTGGGTAGAAGGAAAGGAATCAAAACAGTTTATCTACAGTCAGCAGAGTTGAACATTTTCTTTGCTGTATTAGAACCCTGAGTAAAGAAGGAATCTATCAGAGCAGTCAAAGTGGGATCTGAAATACTCATAAGTGTTCAGTATAAGCCAATGGAAATTGATATAATTAGAAATACATTTAGGTTAAGCTATTTAGAAAGGCCCTTCTGATAAAATGACCACTGAAATTTGAAATGGCATTTGTGGCAAAGAGAGCGCACCATCCATGAAAGATTTATGCATCTCTTCTTTAATATGGCATTGTTGCTAGGATACAGCTGCCCACCCTGGAGGTATATCTACGAGGAGTCTTGTGTCCAATTCTTGTTAATGGAATGTATTGTAGCCCTAGCCTATTAGAGATATTATAACAGATTATAGCCTGGGAGGTTTATAAACACAGAAATGTATTGGTTATGGGTCTGGAGGCTGGCAAATCCAATAGCATAGCAACAAAAGATTTCACTTCTTGTAAAGAATCATTTCCTTAGAGGGCCATCTGACATAAGGAGAAAGGAAACCCACAAGGTCCCCTTTAATAAGGACACTATTCCCACTCATGAGAATTCCACCTTGTGAACTAATCACCTGCTAAGGGTCCCGTTTCTTAATACCTTCACATCAGGGGTATGGATTTTAACATATGAGCTTTCGAGGGTACAGACATTCAGAATATGAGCAGAAGTCATATTTCAACTTTCTACCAGTAACAGTCTCCACTTTCTCTTTTGCTATCTATTAGCTAGAAGCAAAAGATTCGTGGTCCCAAAAGGTGATATGGCCATGAGTTGAAAAAAGCTTGGGGCTCTAAATCACTAGTGGGGAAGTTATCCCTTTAAGATCTGCATTGAGCTACTGCATAAAGAAGGAAATAATTTCTATCATATTAAACCACTAAACTTTTCTGGGTTTTCTGTTGCAACAGAGTAAGCCTTTAGATTTAGTTTTTATTTTAAAAATATTCAAATCAGAAAATAGAGATGACCTTGGCAAATAGAGTTACATGATCAACTTTCTTGGAATTTCTAGTTGAGTAAAAACTATATGGCAAATGTCATAATGGACTACTCTATCCACCTGACTTTTTACAAAACAATCTTTTGACCATTAATATTGCTTGTTTGCTTACATTTTTCTCATCAAGCATAATCTTTAGCCTCAGTAACTTTCAAAGCTTTCTAAATCTCTGTTACAGAATAAATTGGTGGGTTAGTTAATTTTATTAGATCTTCATTTTCAAGTTTTAAGTAAATTCATGAATAAATGAAAAGACTTTTATTTCCTTAAACCATACCTTATTGAAATTCTTTGAAATCAGGTATCCTTGATAGAAATCCTACCCTTGAGTTCCCACTGGTTTCTCTCATTGCCTTAAAGTTTCTAGACCTATTTTTGCTTATCGTCTCCAATTTCCCTATTTTTATTTGTTACTCTGCCTTCTTCTCTCTAACTCATATAGGCACTCCTTAGCATTTGATTTCTTTGTTACATAATTTTGTCATAACATATATTTTGCTTTTTTGGCAGGTGTTCATCTGAGTGATGATGTTCTTCATGTGAAAAATCTTAAAGCTTCAATTGTGGGAATATTTAGACAGTCTGAAATGTTCAGATGTTTCTTTACTTTGAATTTTCCTTTCTTTTTTTACCTGCAAAGTAGATAGTTCAAATTCTCTGGGAAAAAAAAATCTTTGAAATAGGTAAAAGAGAAAATGATAATGTAATTAGAAGATTTGAATCATTTTCTAAAATGCTTTTAAATGCCATACTGGTGGGAAAAAAAGCTGATTAAGAAACAAATGTTCTTGTGAGGCAGGGGCACTTTATAATATGAATTGATTCTTTTGAACTTGAGACTCTGTTTATCCAGTAACTTATATTTTAAGGTCAATGGTTTTTACATCTCAGATTATGAAACTGTAGATGCTTAGTAAAAATGTGGAAACATTCAGAACAAGCTACAACAAAGAAAATATTAAAAATGGATGGATGGCCCAATAAATCAAAGATCCATTTGCATGTAGACCAGCATTTTTTTCTGTGTATAGAACTGCTTTCTTTTCTGGTTTGCTTTGTTTATTTTTTAATTTTAATAATACAAATAGTGGCATTGCAAAATGCAAAGAATATACAAGTATATGCAATACAAAGAAAAAAACTAACTTTCACTTTGTACAGCCCTGATACCTTGTTTAGAGTAAACACTTTCTAATTAAAAATGTGACCATCCAGGTCTGCTCTGTTTCATTTAGTTATATAGTTACATTTATCTATGTTTATACTTTCAAATATAACATAATACACAAATATAATATGTATACACATATTTGATATATATATCTTATTTATGTCATATATATGATGTATAAATACAGTTTCCTTAACATTATATTGAAAAACTTTCCTGTATAGTAAAAACTTAATAAAAGCATGTTTTATCATTAACTATCTTGTAACTCATTAGATCATCACATATTGATAAAACTAGTTGTCTATTTTAAACTTTAACACTGAAATGGACATTATTTTATATGCATTTTTCACATCTATATCTTTAAAACAGATCCATAACCTGAAATAGATAAAAAAAGATTTAATTTGTTTCTTGATACTTAATGCAAATATTTCCCTTTTAATAAATGTATCCCCAAATACATGCATAGTAGTTCTAGTATTTCTTGATTTTACAAATCTGGAAGACAGGGACGAGTTAGAAATCCCTTCTCATCCTCTGTCCTCAGAATTTATCATCCAAAAGCAACATAAATTAAAAGTGTTACCAAGCAGTATTTCCCAACCTTTGCTGCATGATCATCTAGAGATTACTAAAAAATACTGATGCGTGGCTCCGAGCCCTCAGATCTCCTGATTTAATTGAGATGGGTGGAAACTGAACAGTGGGATTTTTAAAAGCTCCCCAGGTGGCTCTAATGTGCAGCAAAATGTGGAAACTGCTGTCAGAGTAGTTAGTCATTGGAAGATACCCAGACCCATGAAGCTAAGAGGTCAAATGAAGGTCATTGTACAGATTCTATGCTCGCTACTTAGTAGGAAAAGTATTTCTTCTAGTAGTGAAAACAGTGCTGATAGTATTCAATACTATTAATCACCTAGACTCTCAAATAAAATAAATCCAACTAGAAAAATATGATCAACCTAACCTAATACTATAATACTCTCAAGCATTAGATTTGTAAAAGCATCTTTCCCCAGTGACTGCTGGAGTGTTTGGGGAAAAAAAGCCTCCCCTTTTTGCAAATTGATTTTGTCTTGGCTGTGGTGTTTGCTTGTTTAAGCATTAATGACTTGATTTGGAAAGAAATAGCTTCCTGTATGACCTGGATTAAGAAGAGTCATCTTTACTTCTGCCAGAAATTGTGTACAAATGCTAGCATGTAAACAGTGTAACCTATGACAGTTTTTTTTTTTTTTTTTTTTACACCCAGGCAAGCAAGGTGACCCACATGGCTTACGGGCTGAAAAAAACATGAGCTCTGTAATGCAGAGTTACAGTCGGAAGTGCTAAATTTCCCTTGGGACTATGGGGGAAAGCTTCCTGTGCTTTGTAGATTGGCCTATTATTGAAATACATTTGCCCATAGTTAATCCTCAAAGTAATTAAATGGAAGGAAGCGATTAAATCACCAAGAAAAAAGTGCCTGCTACATCTGAGGGGTTCCTGGCATAGTAAGATTTTCATTAAATAGCTAGACTTCAATGTTATACAGGCATCTTCCAGTTAACGTGGGCTACTGAGAGAGAGAGAGAGAGAGAGAGAGAGAGAGAGAGAGAGAGAGAGACAGAGAGAGAGACAGAGAGAGACAGACAGAGACAGACAGAGAGACAGAGAGAGACAGAGATATAGAGAGACAGAGAAAGACAGCTACAGTGAGATAGACAGAGATGTGACAGCGAGAGACAGAGACAGAGAGATAGAGACAGAGATAGAGACAGAGAGGCAGTGTGTCTGTGTGAGAGTGCAAATAATAGTGAAAAGTAAAATTAAGAACAGGAGTTTCTAAAGTCACAGATTTTCTGGTAGAATTATAGGAGGCATGTAGTTTATATAAGGCTATGCCAATTTAGAAAAATAGTATTATTTATTCTCCACAATTTCTTACAAATGAAAAATTGGTCAATTAAAGTGGGCTGAGAAGGTGAACTCAGAGAGCCTAATATTTTCTTGGTAAATGTTAATTTTGTCATGTCACTTTCATTTTTAGTAGATTCAGTAAAGCTTGGTGTTAATCTTGACTATTTTTCTATTGCTTAATCTTTGGGAAGTTACTTGACCTTTCAAAGTTTCATAAAAATTAAAGAACTGGGTTATATGATTTTAACATTTCTCTTAGATCTCAAAAACTACTGGTCTAAAAAAAAATACAAAAACACAGCCAAAAAGCACATGTGAGAGTATTAAAATTCAAGTTATCATCAAAGTAAATTCAAGAAGAAGATAAAACATGGGAAATAAAATATGCCACATTCATTTCTGTGACCTTTTCAAAATATTTTATGTTCCTTAAGAACTTAGTGAGCAAGAACTCAAAGTAAAGTGAACTAGAATTTTCCAAAAACATTCATTTTTCTATGTTTCCCCCCTATTTTCCTTTTTTCTATGCTTTTTTTGCATTTTTCAATGACTTCAAGAAAGCACTGAAAATGCATTACATTTTCAAGCTTTAACGCATAAAAATGATGTAGTTCTAAATAGTTACCAGCAATTATCCTTTTAAAGAGACAGCCTGCATTCATAAGTAACCTTAAGAGACAAAACTTAGATAATGAATGCCATCTTTGTGACAAGAAGAAAATAAAGTGTTAACTTCTGGGGAAGAGTGCATTAAATCCTTTACATCATCTGTGTATTTTTAGAAACTTCTATCTTTTAATGCTTTGAAAAAAATAATAATTGTTCTTTTAGGGTACAATGACCTGATTGTTCCATGCTGGCTTGGTCATGTTGGCTGAATTAACGAACAAGACAGATTACTGCATACTTGATTTGGCCAAGGCAGTTGATGAGATACAGAATACTTTTAGCATTTAATGCATTTGTGTAACTCTAGCAATCACAAACTGAGCTTTCACTATGTTCCTTATCACAAGCCTGGGATACAGAGTTCTACGCCCCCAAATCTTTGGTAACTAATGGTGAAGCAGATTGAGAAACACAAGGAGATAAAATTGTATAACAAGAAGTCATATTCCATTAGGAGTAACAATAAATTGCTTTGAGACAACAGAGGAGAAAGAAATTCCTTTTGAATAAAGTTACTAGATGGGAGAGGGTTGTGGGTAATTCCATACTGAAGCGAAACCTTGAAGTTCTAGCATAACTTTTAATCATTAGAAACGAACAAAGCAAAAGAATGATGTGAAAATATGTGGCATGTCTAGAGAACGGGGTACAGCCTGCAGGCTTGAGCCATGGATGTGATTGATGGACATCATCAATAATAGAGGAGAGTGATAAAGAAAATGGTATGGAGCCAGACTTTGATTTTACAGCTAGAGAAAATTGTTGAAGGATCAAAGGGAAAATGTATGATTTTCACGGTTAGTTGCCTTTAATGTTATAGGGAAGAGTTGATTCAGGCAAGAAAGACCACTAGGACGGATGGAGGAAGACAAAAATCTTTGGGGATTGAGAAATCTGGGTGCTTTTATACTTAAATAGTGAGGAATACAACTGAGTAAAACAGCACCAGAGATCCAGTAAGACTCCTCTTTTAAATAAGGGTCATTCATCTTAAGGAAATTTAAGTTTCAGATACCCTGGAGGAGATGGCTCTTAATTTCTAAAAGTAGAGAGAAACTAAGTAGCAAATAAATATATACATGCAAAAAATACAAAATTTAAAACTGTAAGAAGGAAAGAATTGTTGCGTCATTCATATGTGTAACTGTAACTAGAACTGACTGCAAACAACCAGATTAGAGGTCTACCAAATAAATATAGAAATTGCAATATGAAATCTATGAGGTTAAAGTGAAATGTATAAACCTTTCTGTTTTGCATGCTTCTCTGTGAACTATGGGTTTAAAATTTGTTCCAATAGAAAATTGCTACAAAATCTGTAAAATCCTCAAAGAGACACTATTCCATGAACATGGTTTATGTGTTACCGTGGAGTACAATGGACAAGGTAGAACCTTTCAGGAAGGATGAAGCCAAGGTCAGTGGAGAGCAAAGGACAAGCGATTATCTCAAGCAATAGAATCAGCGTAACACAGGTCCTTCAGCCAGTGCAAGGTTAGGGGCTTTTCTGCCCACACAGCAGAATCTCAGAATGGCTGTGGACTGGCAGCTGCTGTGTACTTTATACTTTCCTTCACTCCAAGGTTGAGTTTCTATGGCAAGAATACTCACCCTGCACCACCATTTGAAGACTGCTTTTTCAATATGGAAATTGCAGTTCTATCGAAACCTCTCTAGACCTAAAGGAACAACTTTGTAGGATCCAAAGACCCAGTGAATTTGAGTTGGATGATTTACCTGTTTTTTTTTTCCTAAGACAAATGATAATGTTTGGAAGAAAAAAAGAAAGTGCAAGATCTATTTCAGAGGGTGGCAGTTGCAGACTGATACATGTTGACTAAAAACCCACATTCTTCTCTTCTGAAACTCATAGACTACTATTCACACACTTTGGCATTTAGATGTGGTTGGGTGACTGAACTCAAGCCACTAGAATGTGTGCTGAAGTAGCCACACTTACAGTGCTCACATCTGCTCTTGTTCAACCTTCTGTCTTCCTTCCCCATTATTCCCACCTGACCCTCCTTTAGCTGGTGGAATAAAGATCCTCTAGGGATTTAGAGAAGCTGGAGACACACCATGGAAGATGCCAAAGTCCCTAATGGAACACAACGATCTCAAAAAAGTTAATCAAAAACTTATTTAAATGAGAGAGAAATAAATGTTATTTCATCAAGTCACAAAAATTTCAGTGGTTTTCTGCTATAGAAAGCTAGTACTTAAATCCAGGAGTTTATGTTGAGTGAACTAGGAGAATAACTCATAGGCCAACTACCCATTGTTAACTCCGTGGTTGGTGTATCGCCTCATCTGGGCTGTCTCAGTGGGTAGTATAGTAGTATCTTGATTCACAAACTTAATTTCTTCTATGATTTTGGAAAAGATGGCCATGTTGGTGTTTGTGTGGGAAAGATGGCCACAGTTGTGTTTATCATCCCATGCAGAGTTTGGAAACAAAACCAAAATTTTCCAAATGCTTCTGCTTGTGAACCAAATTGTTTGCAAACGAAAGCATCCGTGAACTCAGGTACCACTATAATTTGGTTGCTGGATTCAGTTATGATGGCTAAGTTCACTGGCTGTCTCTAGAACTTCCAGCCATCTTTCAAAGTCAAGGAATTATCTTTCAAATTTAGAGTTTTCAGAGCATCATTGTCTCAGGACTCCAAGAAGATGAGAGGAAGCTGGAGAGATTCTTGAGTTGTTATTTGAAAGTAGTGGAACATGATTTTTATTCCATGATACTGCCCAAAGGAAAACAGAAAGTCAGACCAGATCAGGGCAGAGAAATAGTTTCCACCATTTTGGTGAGAAGTGCTTCAAATAATTTGTGAATATTTTTCATATTCTCCTAAAAATTCATGGAGTATACTAAGTGCTCAATAAATAGTTGTTAGTACACGCGGGAATTGACAGCATGGGTTGGAATCCTGAAAAACAAGGATAAAGCATTGCTGCAGCTGCTACTGGGAATACGAATGAGAACCAATCATTGGTAAGTAAGAGCATTTTGAGCAGCACTGAGAGTCCGCCTGAGCTTGAAAATCATAAATTTGTTTTAGAGCCAATTTTCTGCAATTGCATTTGATAGCCTGGGAGCAAGCCCGAAGAAACAGATGGTTGGGTGGATCTGGGTTAGGGATTTGGACTTTACAAACCAGCAGCAGTGGGAGGTCAGAACTGCCCCGCTTGGTTCTGTGCCTCACTGGCTCTCTGCTTACTCTAGAGCTGGCCACTAACCCTCATGGAATATGCTGCAACCTAAGCATCTCGTCTCTGTCCGGTCCACAATGTGATATGAAATCTACACACTGGATTGCAGTTTAATTGAGGCTGTATTTTACATGATTCAGGCCCAAAGCAAAGCACATATGAGCATAGACACACACACACACACACACACACACACACACACACACACACGTTAATCACCTGCATTCCTTGGAAGGCATAACAA